ACATTACCACCTGCCCATCAGGGATGAGAACAGTGTGTGTGTGTGTGTGTGTGTGTGTGTGAAAAAACATATTGGGACAAAGCTGAAATCCATATATTTCTGATCATTCCTGCAGAATTTATTCAATTTCTGCTAGCACAGGCAAGGAGTAGATGGGCATGTGAGAGTGCACGTGCTCTAAAACTAAGTATGGAAGAACCTGCTACTTCTACCCATTCATCATGCATCTTAACATTTTTCCTAACATTGTCCTCATATTTGCAAGCGGGTTTTTTTGTATTGCTTACAGATGGAGACTCAAATTAAATTATGTAAATGAATTAAACTGCTTACTGCACATGAATGAGTTTGATCCGCATACTCTGATCTGAAAGTGTATGCTTTTTCTGCAACAGCAAGAAGCTTTTGGCAAACTATTGTTTTTTTGACAGGAAGGGAAATATGAATAAGCAATAGGAGTGGCGGTGTATGTACAATGGAACATGGATGGAAGCCAGGAGGAAGGGACAGAGTCATGCATGATACCCAGGATGCCCTTCTTAATCTTTGCAGATTGTATTTCCATCACTGGGATACCTAGGTTAATTATTAATTGTTACAATGGTTTATTTATACCACACTGTCAGTTTACATGGTACATTGCAGTGTGTATGCACAGTATGTATGTATATATAAAAAATCTCTGCCCCCCTCCCCAAGGCACTTACGGTCTAGTTAATGATGGACAGGAGGAGTGGGAGAAAAAAGTTTTTTTAAAAAATGGAAGCCAATACAGTTCAGTGCTATAACAACAATGGCTTAATTTCAGCAAAGGAAGGGCTGCTGAGTTCAGGGAAGGGTGGCAGGAGAGCAAACGGTTCAGAGGATGGATGTTGAAGGGATGGAAAGAGAATAATATTGAAAGGGAAATGCTCCAGAACCCATTTTGTCTTATTTGCATAAGAAGTCTGAACATAGATCTGTTTTATCCTGCCATCATTTTTGCTCCCCAAGCCCTCAGGAACACTTTCATACTGAGTTGTGATTATTCTTATTGCAACCAGCCACAAGATGCCGAGAAACCCCGCAAGCAACCAGCCCTCCCTCCCAGAGGACAGCATAAAAAATGGCAGCACCCCTCCTCCCCCCCAAATTCACTGATTTGGTGCCTTAGAAAAACATCGCAGCAATTGATAAAACAGAACAGCCACCCTAGCAGCGCTCTTCTGCTCACCATTTCACTGGTCCGGGAACAGTGAAATGGTATTTGGCGAGAGCACAAGCATCAGGAGGTCCCAACAATGAGAAAACAACCTCCCCTGCCCCCACCCCCCAGCCCATGCTCTGCATTTCAGTGGGAAAAACAGGGCTCCCAAGTTTTGAGTTGCATCACATTTGAACCAGAAACTGCTGAGTTGCTAAAGAGGAGCGACACTGTGGGATCACAGGGCCACAGAGCTGGTCCTGGAGCAACATGAATCCTGCCTGTGAACCAGCCACAGAATTTATGCAAGTAGACGAATCCTGTTTACAGACGGGCTAAAGAAAAACAAGGAGCTCAAAACTGATGACAGTTTTTCTCTACAAGATACTTGCGTGTGGAAAGAGGGGAGGGGAAGGAAGCCACACCTGGCAGCCTTATTAACCCTTCATCGGCATATTACTAATATCATTATTTCTCAAGCATCTCTATTCTACAAGATTCTTACTCAAAAAGCCTCATTGTCTGCCCCTGCAACGGCATTTCATGGCTGAACAATCAAGGACTAGAATGACCAAGGTCTCCCAGATGCCTTTCTAATTCTTACCAATTTGCTGCAGTTCACTTCAGGTAGTCCTTGTTTAGTGACCACAACTGGGACCAGCAACTTGGTCGTTAAGTAAAACTGCAACTGTGTTTACGATCTTACTTCAGCTTTCCTTTGCTTTACAGACCTGCAGGGGTTGGTTGTAAAGTTACTTTTTCATCATCATCGCAACTGCAAACAGTCGCTGTACGAGGCAGTCACTAAACAAAGACTACCTGTACCAAGTATGGGACTGGTAGGAAAAACCTCATGCAGTGGAGCTTGTGTTCTCTTGCAGTTTGCTTAAATGGTGCCAGTAACAAATATAGGTGAAATGTAAGGCTATTTATATTCTGTAACTGGCTCCCTCCTCCAAGTTTTACATATGGCTGCCCATTTTTCACTTACTAAGCTTGGACCTAGAGGGCAATGATGCTGTTATGACAGGCTCCCCCAGCCTGGACACACAACCAATGTGTGGATTTGTCCCAGGAATCCTCAGCAACAGCCATCATGGATGAATTTGGGGAACTGAAGTCCCCCAGTTTGAGGAGCACCTAGGTTGGGGAAGACTGTGCTATGGGACCATTGCAGAGGAGGAGGGAAAAAAAGACAAATCAGATTAGAATAGTCCATATAACTTGGGGCCTTCCGGGTGTGTAGGACTGCAACTCTCATCAAGCACAGCCAGCATGGCCAAAGCCCAGGGATGATAAAAAGACAGCAGTCTGTTAACATCCAAAGGGCACAATAGTTCTTTACCTTTGTCTTACAGGCTCAGCTTATACATGAAAAAGTTTTTTAAAAATTCAAAACTTTGTTACTCTAAGAATCCAGCACTTTTCAATCTGTTTTTTTGGGGGGGGCAGGGGGAACAATCTTGACTTCCTTCAGAAGTTCATTGGGGCTCTTCAAGAAAAAGGACACATCTCAAAAGGCTGTTTACTGCTGCAACTGACCTGCTCAAGTTACAGTCAGCTGATTGCACACAGTCTGTTTCAGAAGGAGGGACAGTCAGGCCCAATGGCCCACCAGCACCTACCACAATCTAGGCAGGAAACCAGAGCACGTGTCTGTCTAACTTTTAAGGGAAATTATGGCAAACCAGCAAGCTTTCCTTTGTAGGCAAATCAACAGGCAAATAGGGCCCCGCAGAAGATGTGAGTGAAAAACACTGAACTAACCTAGAAAGTAAATAAATGAAGGCTTCTGTGTTGACATTAGGCAATAAATGTAAGCTTGGGTTAGACCGGAACACAGCTTGTTCTGATCATATAAACCTGCGTCAAAGATCTTCCTTCAGGTTTCTCACCCGGGATCAAAAATTATCTGGAAGGCATCCAGAGGCAGACCTATCTTGGTTGTGGTACATCTTGAACCTGTGGAAACTTTTCTTACAGACTAACATTTGGCAAGAGAGGGTTTTGTTCTTTTTCCCAAGCAGTTCAGAACCTTACAACGTACTTTAGAAAGACTCTTCTTTTATGCCTTTCATTAGACACTTGCAATGTAATTTCAAGTTGTTGTTGTTTTTTAATATAGTGTTTATTGGAAATGAAACTTTTTGCTGGAACCTCACGCTGAAGGGCAGGTCTGTTTCAAGGCAATCAAGCTGAGGCCCTGGCTTTTTAGCACCATAACATTACAAGGACAGGATGAGAAAGATTCGCTGTCAACAAGGCAAGGGACCAGTCCCTCACAATGGGATGCAGCCTAGATAATAGCTGCTTGTTTCTGGCATTTACAGGAGAAGCAAAGGATCACAGCAAGTATTAACAAGTTTGGCCATGAAACTGTAAAAGCAACCAGCGTGGTCTCTCAATGATATAGCTGTGTCTGACAATCCTTCTCCTCCTTCAACCCGGGAGACCTAGGAGCAAACAGCCCTAATGTGACAATTTGCCGCTCTGCAGTACAGCAGAGCACTTGGGTGTGATTTTACTGTCACTTTTTTTTTTTTTTAAGGAAAAAGCTTAGCTCCATCATGAAAATGAAAGAAAGTTTAAATACACACACGTGTTTTTGTGAAACCCAAATGTGACATTAGACATTTACATCTGAAAATATATAACTAGCTTTGTAAATCAGTAGGGGCGAAAGGGATGGCAGGAAAATAAGATTTCAGACATATCACATATATTCTTTTTTTACTAGATCCCCAAATCCACTGACTAGAGTGAGGTGCAAAATGATGGCGGGGTTGTGTGGGGAAATGGGCTTGAAATATACAAAATACACTTCTCAGCACCATGCTAGGTCCAGAACATTACTGCATTAGAAGTAATTTTCCCTATACAAAATCCACTTCCATCCAGCTTTGTTTCAGCAGTCTGGTTTTATGATAGCAGATCTTTCTATTGTTGCTGTTGCATTGTTAAACAATCGGGAGTTGGAGATTTTTGGTATTCTACTTCAAGTTACCCTGAGGTCTACCAGGAGAGCCAAATCTACCTTCTGTTCACCCTCATTTTAGGCCATCAAGTCAACTCTCTGCCTGAGGCAGGAAATATAGAGCTAGAACATGTGGATGGATTGAGCACCTGGCCGACATCTGGGTAATTGGAGCTCCAGGAAATCCAAACCGAGCTGCAGATTTCATGGCTAATCTACCCATAACCCCAAACTGTAGTCTCCAACAAGACCCACCTGTGAAATTAATTTCACTAGATAAGGTAATAGCTACTACTTTAAGAAGAAAAGGATGAAACTAGCTTCCCCTACCTGGCACGTAAACTATCATCATCATCATCATCATCATCATCTTAGCCAGCAATTTCTGACTGGAGCAAACCTTTTCTTGGAGTGTAGGTAAATCACAAGGTCAAACCCTTAAAAAAACTGGAACATCCATGTGCAGAAACAGTGAACCTTCGAGTACCAGATTCAATAACAGAGAGATGAGGAAGCCCTTTGTTCCCTACTTTAGGACTCCGGAGGTATCTGATTAACATGGCTGAAAGCAGAAAAATGAATAACAACCATGGCCTCCTTCAGTGAGGTCATCCTTAAGAAGGTAGATTAGGGATTGTTTACCTGAACAATATGCTGTTGTCAGAAGAATGAATTTATTGCCTAGGGATGGGAGAACAGAATGTAATTCTCCTGTCTATGCACCCACAACTATGTGGACCTGACTCTGTTTAATTAGTTTCTCCTGTACTACTTAGGAGCATTAAGAGGAACCATGCTGGATGAAACTAGCCACTTATCTACTCCCACTTGAAGCAGGAAATGTTCCCAGGGAATCCAGAAGTAGAACATGTAATGGCAAACTAGCTGTAGTTCCTGGTAACTAGCATTCAGAGTAGATATTAGGTGTTTCCATCTGTGGATAGCATATAGTGCTGTTCTGTCAGCCTCCAGATGTTTTGGACCTATACGTTTCAGAATACCCTAAGTCAGGCTGGCTACAAATGGTAGGAGTTGTAGTTTTAGCAAATCAAGAGGCCAAAAAGTTGGGGAAATCTTCCATATACAATAATATTAATGAATAAGGCATTTACAAATGCATCCTGCTTGTAGATCAGTACACTGCATGTACCACTTAGGTGGTGGAATGTTGATTTGCAAGGTAGTCTCTGGACTAGAGATCCTAGCTTCTACTGAATAGTCTAAGCATGCTTGGGGTAAAAAGGCATTGGTTGTGCTTGTGGCATACAATCAAAATGTGTCAAAACTAACTGGTACTGTACTGTCATTACTATTAGCAAAGAATGCTGCATGTAGCACAAGTATGACTAAAGCTAATATCTTAGGTGAAAATTACTAAAAATATGTGAAAGCCTTGGTTGTCCAAAGCCATGGTGGTTCATATCTATAGGTTCATCTGGTGATGGCCATGGCAAATGGAAGAGTGCAACTTGGAATGTAAGGAACAAGACATGGTTAAGATTAAAAGAGACAGAGAAAATGCAGAATAATTTTGATAGAAAAAATAGTCTTTTGAAAATGGGTAAAAAGTGCTAAACAAGGACCCTACGGCAAAGTGAATGAGATGAAGAATAAAAGTGATGAATTAATTTGGGAAGAAATTGAAGTGAGGAAATGCTGGAAGGGATATTTTAGAGACTTAAGTGAAAATGACAATATGTTGATGAACTGAATCGATACAGATGCTATAGTGTTTAAAAATTGGGGAAAAAGAAGTCATAAGATTGAGAAAATGTTGAAAAATGATAAGGCTGCAGGTGTAGATGGTGTAACTGGAGACATCTCATGCTTTTCCAGAGGCTTGCTCATCCAGAAAACTTACCGAAACTGATACGTGTGCAGTCATCACCCATCTATAATTCAAATTAGATTGTGGGTAGTAAATAAATCTCATAAAAAATGTTAAAATATTATTGTGGCTTGATTATGGAAAGGTAGTCTATTTAACAGATGTGTGAAGACTGCATCTGTGCCTAATGATAGGAAGAATGCCATTATTTTTTTCCTACATAAAGGGAAAGGCTGCAAGAGTAAAGGGGGATTAGTTGTTAAGTGTGCCTGTGAAGGTGTTCAGCAGAATTCTAACTGAAAAGGTATGAGACGTGTCAATGAGCAAAATTTGGAAGTGCAGTGTAGCTTTATGAATTGCAAGAGATATATAGGTCAAATTTTTGCTCTTTGGTAGTTCATTGAGAATTGTGTGAATGTGTTTTGGACTGATAGGTATGATCCATCAGGGTGCCAGCCTCAGAAGTCAGCAGACAATCAGCCACCTAAGGCTGAATCAGCATAAAGATCAGCAGGAGGTACAGAAGAAGTCAGGTGACGAAGGTCAAAACACTGGAATAAAACCCAGTCCCAGGATGCACTGGCATCTGCATCTGGCCTATTTAAGAGCAGCTGTCAGCAGCTGGCAAGGTCACGCTTCCCTATATTTTCTGGAGCACTGCATGCACTCACATGGCCATCTCCCTGCCTTTGTAATTTACTGCAGTACTACTCACCAGTAAACTCCTTGTAAATCAACCAGGCATATGTGGGCTAAATCTGAAACAAAACAGAATGTGAGAAAGTCTATGGCTGATTTAGAGAAAGTGGACAATATAGTGAATAGGCTTCAATTATATAATAAAGTAAAACAAACATCTAATAATAATATAGGAGAATATATGAAATAATTAATGATTCAACACTGAGCATGGACTAAGACAAAGATGTGTTTTTTTGGTTGCATTTGTGGAGAAATGTATAAAGAATGCATGTGACGACATCAGAGGTATGTTGATTGGGGATGTGGATGTGTGTATAGATTTGTATGTAGATGATGCCATATTGCTGACTAGGCCCAAATGATTTGCAGAAAATTGCAGATAGACTGCATGATGCAATGGATGTGGGAATGCATCAAAGTCCAAATTAATTATGTTTGACAGGAAAATAGAGTGAATAATTGAAAGTTATATATACATAGCAAAAAACAAAAACAAACCTGGAGCAAGTAGATGACTTTGAATGTTTAAAGATTAGAAACTGGATGGAGACATTTTAAGACATGCAAATGTTGGCAGAAAGGTAATGGATAGCATGTGGCCTACTGACATGAATATACCGTATGTCAAAAGAAACTAAAACGGCCAAGCGTAGGAGTGTTTTTATAACATGGTTGGGCACGTTAGGAGAAACATAAAAGTTGAACGTTGTAGCAATGGGTTACTCAAGAACCATGTACAGTATGGCAAAGGTAAAGGAAAAGATGGGGGTCAAGATAAATGGATGATGAATGAGTGTGGACTAAATACAAAAATAGTGACTGGTATGAAAGAAGTACATTGTAGTAGCTTGGTCATATAGAAAGAATGAATGTGGAACAAATTAAAAACCAATATAGGAAGGAAGAATGAATGGGTTGAGAGGAAGGGGAAGATCAAGAAAGCCATATCTGGATAGAACTGGTAAGAGAGAGGTGAGAGATTTAAAGAAAACACACACACACACAAACACACACACACAGAGTATGAAGCAAGCTCTGTATGGATACGGTGGAAACAAAGGTGCTTTGATAGAGATAGAGGTATTTGTTATCTTTCCTTTCCTTATCTCATGTTTTTAATGTCTTTGGTTTGCTACTTCTTATCCCTTTTCTGGATTTTGCAAAACACCGCTTACTTTGAAAAGGAATAGTATGAAGTTTATTTGTCTGTTATGCCCTTAACAACCGGAGATCAGGATAGCTGAATGTTTTCTCCCACAGAATTCTGCCTGACGCAATCATCACAAAACGCCCTCTTGGATCTGTTGCATCCTGTGGACTTTTGTTGGGTATCACAAAGGAAGAACAGCTTTTTTATCGAGACTTCCATCCTGAGGAACAGCCTCCCCTTAGAGGGTGTCCCCGTTATTAAAGTCAAGATGCATGCTGAAGACTTTTTTTTTATTTCTAAAAAAATCATTTTGAGTTTACATTTTATTCACCTTGGCATTTTTGACATGTTATGATACTACAACGGCTTGCAGCCACCAGTCATTTTATTGTATAGGTTCTATTATTCCATTTTTTTGTTTTATTTACTTTATTGGTTCAGTTTGTATAACCGCCCATCTCACATACGTGACTCTGGGCGGCTCAGAGTTTTACTCAACGTCATGCTGCCTTTCTTCCATACTAACATTAAACTCGGCCTGAAGATGTTTTTCCTAATTGCCAGTACAACTGCTTTCCCTGAATTTGTCTAACTGCCTTTTCAAACTGCTAGGTGTCGTGACATCTTGTGACAACAAATCCGCCCCTTTCTTTAAACATGGAAGTACTGCGGTAGCGGTTCCTTTTTCTTTTCCTCCATCTGCTGTTCAGCTTCTTGCATTATTTGAAAAGGAAAAAGAATCGTTTACTTTCTCCTCGCCAGCTGCGGCATTCCGCTGAAAAGACCAACCCTCCTGTCCTTGCAAATAATTTATATCTATTATATTTACAGTAGGGGCTGCTCTTACGTGGGCTGAGAATACAGTAGAGGGGGAAGAGAATTTTCTCTCTAACCTTCGTGGGGCGGCAGAATCTTAAATGTAAGGTTTTTTTGTTCTTTCAGATAAATAAGGGCGTGCTTTTGTGGACCTCCCGGGCCCTCCATCTTACTCGCGTGAGCTACGGGGGGAAGGCACGGACGTGGCAACCCTCCCTCACAAAGGAGGCCTGTTATGAAACCAGGTGGAGCCGGGCCTGCCCGCACGAGCGCGCGTCTCCTCCCCGCCGCGCGCCAAGGGACCCCGCCTCTGCCCGCGTGACCCGGGCGAGCCACGTGGCCCGCGAAGCCCAGCCTGGCAGTTCCCGGCACTGTGGCCACATTCCTTTCCCCGGGAGCAGCTAGGGACCCGGGGCGGGGCTTCTTCGAGAGGAGCGCCAATCAGAGGCCGGGAAGCAGCCCAGCAAAACAACCCAGCGGGGGGAGCTGCCTATGGAAGAGACGGAGGCGTGGGAAGACGGAGCACCTCGCTGGCCTGGGGCGCTGCTTGCGCAAGGCGCCCTCCTCCCGGTTTCTGACGGGAGAGTCAGCTCGCGTGGACTTTTAGGGAACGGAGGCGGCTCTTCGTCCCCCTCCTTGTTTGGGGAGAAAGCTGTAACTCTTCTGCTGCAGCAGCGCCGTCCTCTTGGCGCCTCGGCTTAGACTGGGCAGCTCCAAGGCAAACAAAGGAAATTGGCTTTGCAAGAAGCCACAAGCCCCATCATGTCCTGCCTTCTCCCAAACAAACACCAGATCGCGCAAACCTCGCAGCTTCTTCGCAGTTATTACGCTTTGGGGGAATTTTTGTTGTGGGGGGGGCAGACTTCTGGAGTCAAAATGGATACCCAAATTAGATTAGTAGACAGGAGCGAAAGATCACAGGCAACGAATATCCCCAGCCGTTAAGCAGGAAGAGAAGATTTGGGGTGCCCCAAAACCGAAAAGTTCATGTATGTATAAAGGAAACAGTAGGGGTATCGATGTGGAATAGAGATCAAAGTTCTTTCAAACTAATCATTGGTTAGATTCGTTCAGAAATTCCCTTTTTCAACGACTGCTCTTCCCAATTTCCTGCCTTTTGTGCTGCAAGTTCAGAGTTAAAGGCCTACTGAAGCCTTTCGCACACTTTCTCTCCCCCTTTCAGGTAGGGAGGAGTGAAGACCTTTGCAATCACTGCCCCCTTTTTTATTTTGATTTCTGTACTGACAGGAAGTGTAGTTGATTAAAAACTCCTGAACTCACAGAGAGGAATGGAAGGAGGGGTGTCCCCCTCCCCAAATACACCCCAAATCTGATCCTTCCGAGCAGTAACAAAGACAAAGCAGGAGGAGAGAAAACAGAAATGCCCCTTCCCCGGTACAGAAGACGTCTCTTACCCAGAGAGCAACCAGCTGGTCCACTAATCTTTTAGCAACAACAATAACAGCCTTCAAGCCAGCTGAGAGAGGCGGAGGCAGGCGAAGCTCCAAGTGCTGCCGGGAGTTGTAGTTCTCTTTCCCTGCTCGTAAATTAAAGACGAGCGAAGAGGTAAGATTCGAGCTCCCACGGAGGCCCGGGAGAACGCCTGGGATTCTGGGTTCGGTAGTTCCAAGGCCCAGCGACTCAAGGGGAAATAGTGCTTATGGGACTCCAAGTTCCAGGGAGCACCTTGGGCTGAGGGAGATGGGAAGCAGTCCACGGGGAAGGAAAATAAATTATTTAGAAGGGGCTCAGGTTGCCACAGTGGTAGATCTCATATTCTGAGAGTGGGTCGAGGTTATTTTCCTAAGTATTATGAACAGTTTTCCCCACCAAATCCTCTGGGATCTGACCAAAACTGTACTGTATAAAAATTCAGAGATGACTCCAACATGAAAAAGTACAGCACTGGAACTGAAGTGCAAGCAGACAGGAAGATGATAAAATAACGTAGACCTAAGCTGCAATATACAGTATAATAGGGCTATAAAAATGTACAGGGACATTTGAATATGTACACATGGGGCAATGAACAAGTAGGGACATTGCATACAATGATCCAAGGATAAAAATAGGGAGTTATTCATGGGCATCATGCTAATGAATAGGTTGAGAAGATGCTCCAGTGAGTAACATCCATATACAAAGTCAGGAAAACAATCTCAAATGCATTTACATGAATAAGAGAACAAATGCACCAAGGAAATCTCTGTTTTCTGTTACATCATTGTTATAAAAGTCAAACTGCAAGTTTAAGTCTTAAGAGAACAGGCAACATTGATTTTTATGTACAACACAGGACTCTACTTGTCCCTAGCCATGTTGTGAATATTTAAATATTTCAGTTATACAAATATTTATATGTTGTCTACTCCTAATACCAGTAAAACAATAAATCATTCATAAGGCCACAGAACAGACAATAATTAAACAGCATCAAATAGACCATCCCAGCAGCCACCCTCTGAATAAGGTGCTGTCATTGTTATGGATCGCTTTCCTCCCCAAGTACTATACTCTGTGGTCACTGCTTTCAGGAAAAACAACACAGGGGCCATCCTGACCTTGAGAGCAAGCTGTTCCAGAGTGAGGGGGCTGCGTCAGAGAAGGCCAGGTCCTCCCCTTCCCTCCTGGGGGTAGGAACCTGGCACATGTCCTCTTAGCCTGCACATATTGGACAGGCAGGTTCTGTTTGGAGCAAATGGTCCTAAAGGTAGTGAGGACTAGAATCATAAAGGAAAGAACTAGTACTTTGAATTGGTCCCAGAAGCCCTTCAGCAACCAGTACAGTCACAACAGTATCAGTGTAGCTTTGCTGTACTGGGTTCCATCACTCAGCAAGTGGTGGAAAAGGCTATGCTCTTTACCACCTGTAGTTTCTATAGATCATGTACTGTAAAGTAAATTGCAGTAATCTAACCAGGAGAGTACAAGGGCATAAGTCTCTGTAGCCAACACTTTTTGGTCCAGGAAGGGTTACAAATGGTGAACCAGCTGGAGCTGGCCAGGACCTCCAGACTGCATGCATGGTCCTTCAATGAGAGGGTCACTCTGAGCTAAAGATGGAGTTAGCCTAGTACTAGAGGCCCTCTGCCCCAAAGTAGCTCCATTTTGCTGGGATTCATTCTGAGCCTGTTCCATCCCATCCTAACCCTCCCAGGCTCCAAGAACCAGATCAACACTTGCACTGCATCTCCTGCTTGGCCCGGGGTAGAAATGTTCAGCTGACTGTCCTCAGCATACTGATGATACATCACCATGATGATTTCTCTCAGAAACAGGAGGACAAAAGCTTGGAGAACCCACATGGAAGTGCCCAATGGCTCAATCTATCCTCCCCAACAGTACTGATTGGAACCACCCACTCATGAAGGAGCAGAACCACTGAAAAAATGCCCCCAATCTCCAATCCTTGCAGTGGTCCAAAAGGTTATCTTAATGTATGAGATGTGGCAGGAGAAGGAGGAATACAGCCCCCCATTCTAGTCCCACTACAGGTCATCCACAAGGACAATCAATGTAGTTTCCATCCAGTGCCAAGGCCTAAACCTAGACCAGAAGGACCAAGATTATCCACTCCATCTAGAACTCTCCATAATTACTGTGTATCATCTTCTTGACAACCTTTCCCAACAGGAGAGGTTGGAGATGGGGCAATATTTATTCAAGATTAATTGAGTGATGGCTCTTGAGGAGTGGTACACCACTACATTTTGTAATTTTTTATGGACATGCCCTGGTAACTGTCATGGCCTGATAACATTGCTTTCATCTCAACCCTAGCCATGCCTGATGCAGATTTGAGTCATTGTTAGCTGTTCTGGTTTTTTTGTGTAGTGTTGTCCCCCTTATCTTAACACAATTATTGCCCTGCAAACAATTTGGCATGCTTTGCTGACCATTTGGTTGCTGTTCACACATGGATGCCTATACAGGTCTTCCAATCAGCATTACATGGCTGGAGGTAGAGCAGGAAAGGGGTGATAGCTAACTTGCTATAGTTGTGCCAATACTGTATATTAGCCTTCTGTCTCTTCCAAGGTTTATTTCCTTACCAGTCCTGACGGTTACCTGTAACCCTATGCGCCATCTTCATCCATGGCAAAAGCCTGTATGAGGGAAATACCCTGATTGTTCATACAATTGTGCGGTCCCTCAGTTTCTGTACTTCAACAATGATTAGTATAATTCTTTTTTCATGCCTCCTGGAGATCTAAGAATAAGTAAATAAGCTTTGGGGATGTGAGTGGGTTAGCAAGCCATTGTGGGACATACCACATTGCAAAGTATTTGATGCTTTGCCCTGGAAACAATTTGGTGTGCTTCACTGACCGTTCGGTTGCCATTCTCACCTGGAAGCCTATATGGCCCTTGCAGTCAGCATCATGTGGCTGGGGGCAGAGCAGGAGTGCCCAATGGTGAGAGCTAACCCTTTATAGTTGTGCCAGTATTGTATGTAAGTCAGTTAAACAATGCCGTCTATCAGGACTCAGGAAGTGTGCCTTCTCTGTTGTGGTACTTGCACTCTGGAATGATATTGCCCTGGAGATGTATGTAGCTCCCATCCTGATTATGTTCCAGAAGTCTTTAAAACTTGGTTGTTCTCCTAGGTCTTGGGGTAGGGTGTTAGTGGAGCCCCAGCTGATTGTTCGCTGTGTTATATGGTGTGTGGTTTGTCCAGACATGTAGGTTCTTTTGACTGCATTCTATTTTTAAGCTTAGGCCACCCAGAGTCATTCTGGAGTTGGGCAGCCTCTAAATCTTAACAACTACAACAGCAATAATGCTATAGCACCAAAATGGAGAAGGGGTACAGAAGTTCACTAGTGGTCAGTGTGAGAGATTGCTGCAAATCTGACTGGACTACAAAGTGTACAGCTCAAAGTGAAGGACAGAATATGTCTCTTTCTGCCAAAAATCTTTCTTTAAATATGGTATAAAATATCAATTATGCAAAGTGTTAGAATTTTAAAATTATGTTGAAGGGAAGGATGGGAAGAACTTGGATTGGCATGGTACGGGTCAACCGGTCTTTTGTGCCTCTATCTTAAGCCATCCATTACTCCAAGGCACAGAGTCTCTGGTCCTTCTGTCCACATGTTTATGCATTGCTCTCACTGCAGAGAGAGGTCAGAGAAAGACAGGACGAGAAGCTATATCACCAACACTGGTTGTAGTGATTTTATTTGAAATTCTCACATATATATTTTATTGTGCACTTCCTTAGTTGCTGTTACATAGTTCCAGTGAACTAATATTTCAGTGCACATAAATAGCCAAGTCCAAAATGCGACTGAAGTCTCTCTATGGGCTTTCAGTGCCCATTTTGCTGGATGAAAATTTAATCATTGGAACTTGGAATCTTGCAGCATGTTTCATTAGGGGTATGCTCAAAATACCGTTTTGCTAATTTAAAGATGTAGCATGCTACTGTTTTGCCAATTTTTGGCAAGATCATACCTTTCCCGGCCTGCTGGTTTCCTGATGTGTTGTATCTTTAATTCCTGCCATATCCTGTCATCTTATAGATGCTCAGTGGGCTGATTTTGGTTCTCCTATGCCCCTTTTTTTCTTTTAATTTTTAATTTGCTTTTAAACTGGGGAGCCTTTTTTTTTTTCTTCCATCTGGGCAAACTCGGAAATGTCTTTTCTGTATATTTTGGTGGACAGGGCTGAAGCAGCTAAGAACCCTTTCCTACTTTTTACATACCAACATGAGAAGAAATGAGAGAAACAAATGAAGATGGAAGTGGTTCAGACTTAGTAGAGGATGGACACACTGAGGTCCTCCAGAAATCAGCAGAGGGGTTCCTGTGGACTGAGCCATCTATCAAACCGTCACAGCTTATAGTTCAATAGTCCTGGTCTACTGTTCCTTCTAGAGAATATGGTAGACTGAGACCTCTCTACAGCTTTCCTTAGTAGTCTTGGAGTTGCTAGAGAGAATGGCACTTAACCACTTAAGAGGCACTTTACCGTTTAAAGATGTGAATGGCACTATGAATGCCATTCCAAAACCTTTATCTCTTTCCTGTCAATATAGCATAGTCAGTTTAGAGATAATGTTTCAGATTGTTGTTTTGCTTAAATATCCAAGCTCTTTTAGCTTCATTTTCTTCCCTGACTGTGGGACATTGGTTTGAAGACCAAGAAAAGCCTCTGCCAGTACTGTCCCCAAATTAGTCACCTCTGCAACACAGGAACCATAGCTAACTGTAAATGATCTGCTGAAAAGTTTAGCTGATGCTTGAATAGCTGTCCACAGGTCCACAGTACAGCATTGCATATAGAATGATGATCTTCATGGGAGTTGTCGGTAGAAAATCTTTTCTCCAACCTCATCATAAAAGTAATTGTTTAAAATATGCAAAAGAAAGCCTTGATAAGCCTCAAGTGCTTTGGAACAAAGTGTTTTGAAGTGACGAAACGAACATTGAAGAGTATGTCTACAACCACACAATACATTTGGAGGAAAAAGGAACAGGGGTGGCTTTGGGGTTATGTA